GGAGGATAGAGCTGTAGCTGTGAAACTTCTCCAAGTACTGAGATACATTAAGATTGAACCTTTCAAACACTTCAAAATATCAGAAAAAAATGTAAGTTTTTTGGTTTTGTTTGGTTTTTTCCAAAACACAGTGAAAACAGCATACAGAGCTTCAATATCCACAGCACAAACCAAAAACCAAACAGCTCATTTGATCTAGAGTGCTTTTGTTAAGGTATTCAGAGACTTTAGTGCATTTATTTTAGAACTAAGCTCAGAAACTATATTTAATTTTTCATTTTATTAGAAAACTAAACTGTATGAGGCAAAGAAACATTTAATCMAACACACAACAGTGAAAACATGGCACTGACAAAGCAATTAGCCCAACCATTGTAACAAACTGCTTCAGGATTCTCTATTGCTTACAGTCAAGTATACATCATCTCTGCCATGTGAGACATTTTCTTGGGAATATATAAGTAGTATTCCATGTATCCCGACAGATCTTCAATAGTCACATCATCCACAAAGGCTCGAGCTTGCTCAGAACAAGACCTCAGAGAGCTTGATGAGACTGTGCCACAGGGGGATCTGTTTTGGAGGGAGTGGGCATGGACTCCCAGCACAGCTTTCTCACACTCGGACAGGACGCTGCGCAGGCCGGAGAAGGAATACACCTCCATGGTGCACCACTGCTTGCACTGGCACTTCTGGTCCGTACAAGGGCACTGCCTGCCGTTGCTAAGCATGGATAAGGACTGGAAATCTGAGGTTTGCTTAGAACACAAGCTGTTCTCAAAGGATGAGGAGAGAGTAGGGCAGCTCTCCCCTGGCTTCTGCAAAGGCTCTTCGGCGGTGAAARCTTCCAACGGTTCAGTTCTGTCGTTACTGGCCTCAAGGTGAGAATCCTGCCCGTCCTTCGTACCATGTTCTGCTGGGACAAAAACATCTGWGCTGATGACACCCTTCGAAGTGTCTGCCTGGGTTTTGTGTTTCAGCTGGTTGTTGGCTTTCATGTTGCAATAYGTGAACTTGGGAGGGTGCAGGACCGGAGATTTGGAGCGCCGGCGCCGCGGCACCCGTGCTGATCCTCGGGAAGGCTTCCTCACACACCTGCAGGGTACGACAGGCAAGCAAGTGGGTAACTCCAGAATCTACACCACAGCTCAGTAAGCTCTCAAATGTGGCTAAAAACGTTTAGTAAGATTATTTTTCTTGGAAATACCAGATGACTGGTCACTTACAATCTCTGACAACAACTGTGGAGGATTCCGAAGAAATTCAGATTCCCCCAAAGCAAAGATACATACAAGCAACCCTTATTCAAGGTGCTTTCCCCCAGATCTTCTTATTCAASGTGCTTCCCCCCAAATCTTCTGCCTTAAGCAAATGATACTTTGTCATCCCAAATTGAAATTCTGTAGTGCAGAACCTGGATCAGTTGGAGCTGCTGGCAGTCACACTGAATATCCAGGTACTTCAAAAGAAATAAAAGAACCCAAGAGTGAGGTGAGAGCGGGTTGCAAAGGTTGAAGTCATAGAGAAATATGTGGATGAAATTAGTGGAAAAGTAAGTTTTAGGAACCCTCTTTAAGAAGAAAGACAGTATTGTTTTAAAGACTTTGATTAAATCCCCTTAAAAACAATTTATCAGTTATGGAAACATTTTGTGATGGAGAGAAAATATTTGTTGAAGCATCTAATTAACAGCAACTCGCACTGAAAGAAGCCTGCAACTGCTCAATGTCTGATGTTTTACCCATGCCACGCCTCCCTGGAGCTGACAGTCTGCTGCTTGGCTCCATCCACGGCTGCTCTCGTCGTTGTTCTGAGAATCATCCCATCGCCCACGGACAGAGCTGCAATACATCTGGGTAAAAAGGGAAATGCCACATCACAGAAATGCCTGAACATATGGCTCCAGAGGCCCACATTCAGCCTATGTGCTTTGGATGCTCAGCTAAGCCAGTCAAATTTGCTGCCCTGGCTCCCTCTGCAGTCACTGGGTAGAAACAGGACATTACAGAGATTTATCCGACCCCTCTTACTATACTGGCCTCATCAAGTGGCTAAAGATAGGTGAGATGAAATGAAAGACTGCCAAAATGCCCAGAGGTTGATGTCATGCCCTATTTGTACTAAAATGACATGTTAAAGGAATGTAAACTCAGGTTCCAAACGTTCTTGTCAGACAATAGTCATTAGATTCCTACTCCTCTGAAATGCAAAGTCAGGCACACAGAGCAGCAGGATGAGGGGGAGTCAGTGAAGAAACAGATGAGGTACATCAGACAAGCACAGATAATTGATTTATTTAGTTCTCATTAAATTTTTGAGATAAGCATGGAATGAAAAAACCTGGAGGTTCAGATGACAAACATAAATGCCTGAGCATATGAACCTGTGCATTTATATTCATGATGGCTGCAGGTATGATTTGGAACACAGGGTGGGAAATTTTAAGAAATGAGGCTGAAATTCTAGCAAAGAGTATTTTTGGGCAAATACTCTACCCAAAGTTGATCTTAAGGGATTAGTCACAAGACTTGAGCTGTTCACAACACATGCCTGCAAAACAAGATCTTTATATGCCTAGGATGTCATCAGGAATCAACCAGAAGCCCACACAGTCTGCCAGTGGTACTGCATCAAAAATGGTATRTTTAATAACCATAGTTCCTAGATAGAGAACAGCTATTTTTTTCCACATCRCTCAGAAGACCTCCTGAAGCAGAGGAAGTGAGTAGCAAAGCAAAATRTATTTCCACATGCAGAGGAARTCCTGAATTCATGATGTTGATGGCTGTGGAGATGAATTCACAAGGTAACACTGTCAGCACAAAGTTTTCCTCTTGTGTTTGTGAATTCCCAAAACACTTCCAGTGAACTGTCTCACAGAGTGTTAAGACTGCATAATTTTAATAGCTCTTACACTACACATTATCAACACACCCAGTATCTTATTGAGTAAGTTTCTAGTGTAAGAATGTCTGCAGACATTTCACTCCACAAAACCCCTGAAATCACAACTGCTCAGTGCATATTTAGCCTGACCCTTCCCAGTGACTGGGCTCTCCAGCACACTCTGAGATGTTGGTGCTGCTCTTGCTGCTCTCCAGATGCTTTCCAAGCAATTTTTGTCCACTAAATAAAGGCTGATAATGTGGCTGCAGACACCAGTGTTTACAGGAACAGAACAATTCTGTATCACACCAGGTGATTACAGCTATGACAGTTAAAAGTGTCTGGGTGAGTCTTTTCATACTTCCATACAATCACTGTAATTTCAGTTGGATGTTGCGCCAAAATAGTCTGTAATAAAGTACTGCTTTACCTATTAGACAGTTATAATGACTGCAYTTCATCTGAAGGGATGCAGTTGTCTTCTCCTGGAGAGCAAAGAACCTTTCACCAAATGACTTTTTCTTTTTGAAATGCAAAAAAAAATACAAATATGTAATAAAAACCTGACAAATTAAATTTCCTTTTTTGTTGCTCACTTACCCTGCTGCATCCACTCTCAGCTTTTTGAATGCTGTTTGTAGACTCTCCTCTTCTTCATCTTTAGCTTCCAAGTCCATTGATGTGCTCTCAGTGGGTAACYGACCGTGCCATATAGAATAAACTGAAATACAGAAATTGGGATTTGATGCTGAGCTCTGAACACAGACAGTCTGTACAAAACTGACTGACACTGTGATGGGTGCTCGTTCTTCTGCCCGTGGCTTTTCCCTGTGAACGTCAAAGTCTGAATTTTTCAGAACAAGCACAGCCTGTGTCAAAAATAGCAAAGTGTTTTTTTATCAATGGGAGAACAGCTGATATGGATCCTGGCAACTGGTGTAACTGAGCTGTGAGCAGGACACGTGCAGCAGAGTTTCAGCAAGGTACAGAATCACATGATGGTTTAGGCTGGCAGGGATGCTTGCAGGTCCAGCCCCTCTGTTCAAACAGGGCTACCCCAGGATGATTTCCCAGGACCATGTCCAGGTAGCCTTAGAATAACCCCAAGGAGGGAGACATCGGAGCCTCCCTGGGCAGCGTGTGCTCAGCCACCCTCAAAGAAAAGCGCTTCCAAGCGTTTCAGCTTGTGCCCACGGCCTCTGGTCCGGTACCCGGGCACCGGTGAGCAAAACCTGACTCCCCTATCTGAGCCCCCCACCCTCCAGGCATTTACAGCTTGCCGAGACCCCTCCGGAGCCTTTTCTCCCCGGCAGCAGAGCGGGGGCGGCCGGGCACTGCCCAGCGTGACACCCACACTGCCGCAGCACAGGATACGGGCGAGGGGCCGGGACCAGCACAGGCCTGACCCAGGGCCCCGCTGCCCGTGCCCGCCGGAGGCTCCGCACCCGCGGAAACCCAGCGCCGGCCGCGCTCCGCCACCCGCCCCGGGCCTCCCCTCGCCGCCGCTCCCCCCGGCTCCCTGCAGAGCCCCCCGGCTCCCTGCAGTGCCCCCAGGCCGGTGCCGGGGTCCCGGGGTTCCCGGGGGTCCCGGGGCCATCACTCACCCACCGCCGCCTGCCCGGGGCGCGCAGCACAACAGGACGTGACGTCACGGCCCCGCGGGGGCGCGCCCCGGCCCCGCCCGGCCTGGCGGGTGCGCGTGCGCGAGCGGCGGCGGTTCCGGGGGGCGGCGGGAGGCGGCGGGCTCGGCCCGCGGAGCGCGGTGAGTGCGGCTCCCGTCCCTGTCCCCGTACCCGTCCCAGCCTTGGCCCCGGCCCCGGCCCCCTCCTCATCCCGGTCCCCCACGCGGTTCTCTCCTGGCTCCCCCAGCCGCCGGGGCCGGTGGGTGCCGTCGCGTCCCCACAGCGAGCCCCTCCCGCGCGGTTCCCGCCGCCGGTCCCCTCACGAGGGCGGAGGGCGATGGGGGAGCCSCGGCGGGCGCGGGGCGGCGCTGAGTCACGGCCGAGCCCCGGAGCTGGGCCGCGGGGTAGCGGCGGGGGCCGCTGGGGCTCCCCGGGTGCTGGTCCCTGGGGAGGGAACTCGGAGCGGTTCAAAATAGAGAATTAAAAATTATAAATTAAAAAAAAAAAAAAACTAAAAAGGCAAGATTTAAAAGTTGTTATCCCGCGGGCCGTGTGCTGCCCCCTGGGGCCGTGGCTCGGAACGGCCGGGAGCTGGTGACCGAGGCTTTACGTGCCCGTCCYCAGCCCGCGATGGATGGAGGTGGCCGGGCCGTGTGTCCCATCGCGGGAGCGGGGCTGGGTGACTGGCGCTGCGCTCTGCGGGGCTTGCAGTGCGGTGGTGCTGGGAAATGGCCAAAAATAAAATGAAAAAGGGAAGGTGTGTGTTTTCCTAGGAGGCAACGAACGTAAGTTTCAGTGTGTTTTTTGACAYGATAAACTTTGGCTGACTTATACAGTAATTGACTTTTTTTACACTGGCGCTGGTTGGCTGATGCTTCTAAGCATCTAAAATGCTTAAGCTTATCACTCGGTGAGTAGGCTTTTATCTAAATAAATTCTGCACTATTTTGAGGGTTTGCAGTGTTGGTGATGAAGGGCAGCATAATAAARTATTTAGTCTAAAAACTGGTACTCTGTTTTGAGTAACGTACAGTGATTTTAAATTTTTTTACCCCCAGCTTCCTGCTAAGGTTTTGTAACACAGGAGTGAGCTATTAAAAAAAAAAGTAGCTTGAAGTTTTTTTTATTTTAAAGAATCATCTGAGGATGACTGGAGGGGCCAAATAATAAAAGTGAAATAGGGACTATCTGTTTCACCAGAGCAGTAGTATTTGGCTAGGAGAAAATATGAAATAGTAACTTGCTCAGATGAGCTTCATGTTGTCAGTGTCTGTTTAAACTTCTTCCTCTCCTGTTTACTCCCTGTCTGACTCATGAGACAACATGTGCCTTGAAATTGTTATGATACATTATCCTTCTRTGTGTGTCATAATAGCTGTCTGCAATCCAGGGCATCCAGGTGAAATCACAGCAGAGTGAGCAGCCAGAACAGCAGTGGGGAGAGCTGCTACCTCCAACTGGAATGAGGGGGAGGGAACAGAAATTACCACCATTCCTCTGCATAACTAACTGAGCTGAAGAGCTTCAGATAAAAACATCTTGGTGAACAGAGTTCTTTTCCTTTCTACGCAAAAACTTGTGCAGGGCTCTGCACTGGACTTTGCTGAAGTTCTTGAGGTTCCTGTTGAGATCCCACTGGTGTATCAGGCACTCATCCCAGTTTGGTGACATCAACAGGCATGGGGAGGGTACCCTGCCACATCGTCCAGATCATTAATGAAGGTGTTAAACAGGAATGGACAGTCTTGACCCTGGGCTACACCGCTAGTGCCTGATCTCCAGCAAGCCCAAAGACCATCAAATTTAGAGAAATTTGAGATCCTTTGTAGATAAATGAAATGATGGCTAGGGTAGATTAAAAAAAATACATCAGCCAGTTTTGTTTTTTTTTGTTTTCTTTTAATTTAAAGTAGAGCTTTCTGATTGCTTTTTGTATTTGTTTGCAYTGGTACTTGTTAATGAGCTGATACTGGAAAATTTTAACSATTGGCTATTGTAATCAAAATACCRTGTTCTGATATGACTGTGTAACTCTTGCTTGAACCTAGACATAAAGTCAAAAAGTTGTGTTTGGCTTAAAACTTTATCTTGTTTTAAGAACAATCTCTTGGTTTGTTTTTTTTTTAAAGTGTATGAGCCCCAAATTTGGAAATTAGAGTTGTGGAAGGTTGGCTGTTTCTGAACGTGTTGTTCCTTCTCATTTTCACCTTGTCTGCAATTGTTCTGGTAGCACTGTAAGACAAGTGCAACAGTTTGGCTGGACTGTAATCTATATGCAAGATGCTGTTGACATAAAATTTGACTTTGAATTGTTAATTCACCTAYAGTTGTACAAGAGACTGTTTGTTTCATTCTTGGGTATCATARAGCTTGTTGTGAATCAGCTTTCAAAAATGTTCTACTAGAATGACCTCAGCTTTGTGTGCTCAGTGTGCTATTTTGAGTTTATTTTCATGTATTACGGTGCTGCTGGGCAACTAATGTTTTTAACAAGGATTTGGCCCTTATTTTCCTGTGTGTTTTTTCTGCTTGTAGCAGTACATGGTAATTCTATCACCTTCTGGCCATCCAATGATGAAATCAGAAGCTAAGGATGGAGAAGAGGAAAGCCTGCAGACAGCATTCAAAAAGCTGAGAGTTGACACAGCTGGGTAAGTAACACTACAGGGAGGCACAGACTTAACATCTTACAAATGGACTCAAAGGGAACACCCTTGCTGTGAAATTTGAGGGAATGAGGTAATTGCAAAAGGTTGGCCGCAGAAAGCCCTCATTGTAGTTAAACAGACTGAAATAAATTCACTACCTGTAGACTGCATTTCTCAAGGAATTGTAATTTGGTTGATTGCTGTCAACTTGAAACAGGCTTGAAAGAAACCTCACAATCATCATCAGCTGACAGTGTGCTTGAAATGAATTTTGGCATGAATCTGGCTGCCTGAGGTTACCAGTARTAGAGTCCATAGGACTAGAACTCTGCTGTTAAAGTGAGCATATTGCCATGGCTCTGAAGGCCTGTCATGAGAATAAAATCACATCTTTTCCCAGGAGAGAAATTTCCCTTCCATGTCAGTAAGGGAGAGTGTTAGATTCAGTGCACGATTCCCACATAAACTATTTTCAGTGCTGTCACAAAATTTCTATTTTTAAGCAAAATCACTAAATGGGAAAGAACRCTTTTTGTGTTTCCTTGGTTTGTGGACTTCTGACACATGGCACTTACCTTCACTGTCCCAGGTGGCAGAACACAAGCACCATTATCATTGCCACTTCCATTGGTAATGATAATTTTGACCTGAAAATAAATAAAGGCATTCATATAATGTTTTTTTTTCTGCTGACAAATGTACACCATTGCATATTACCTGTATAATCCTGTGTTCTATTAGCTGTTGTCAGCAATACAATTACACTGTCACTGAAATAAAAGGTGAAAGTKAAAGGCAGCATGTAAAGATCAAAGGGGTAACTACAATTACCACAGAGCTGAGATTGTGAGTAGATGGGCTTCTAAAGTTATCTTTTATTTAAGTAAATAAAATCATTAGTAATTAATTACCTCTCTAGTTCCATCCTCCAACCAGGCAYATTTGATCACTTTGGAGTTTTTACTGGTGGCCTTCAGTTTTCTGTCCTTCATTGTCCTGTTAATGGAAATTAGTTTGATTAATAGACTGGATTCTCTTAACCCCATCCTAGAGTGTGTGGGGACTTATTTTCACTTTTCAGGGAATCCGTCCTGTTTTCAAACTGATGTAGCATGGGATTTGGAAAATAATTTTCTTGGGAATTCCAGTATAGTATTGTGAAGTCRTAACTTGGAGAAATTGTTCTCGGGCTTACTGAAAGCCCTTCAAATGGGAGTCTGGAATGAATTTATAGCACCAGAAAATTTAGTAGATCTGTTAAGGTTCCTGCCCTGAACAGAAGCTGAAGGTCTGACACAACTCCGTGGCTCAAATGATTCAACTTGCAGGAGTATGAAGAATTTTAGCTTATGTTGACAGCCTATGTTAGACAGAAGCTTAAGTGTTCTTCAGCTAAACAAAGTCTATTTATGTCCAAAGAACATTTATTTTTAGGAAAGAATGGCTTATTTGTCTCTGGAAAAAGAGACGTGTTTCTTCAGTGATGGTGTTTCTGCCCTCCCCTCTCCTGGGAAGCTGAAATTTGGCCATTGTGTGTGTTTGTCACTGGCACGTGGGGCTGGATCTGCAGTGGAGCTGTGAGCAGCATCGCTGGGTGAAAGGGTCTGTTATACAAACCTTGGAGATACGAGTGTGTAAACACTCATCCTGCTGATTTGGGTCTTTGCAGGCAGGTCTTTTAAGACATGCTCTTGATGATTTGGTGAAATATTTTCTGGGAAAGAGAATGCGTGAGGATTTTTTTTTCATGATCATAACACTAACCACTGTAGGCTGTTAACTCTTCATTCTGTCTCTCACAGATCTACCACCTCTCTCTCTGTGGGTGATGGGACAAGTGCCCGAGCAATAGTTAGAACAGTGGCAGATGAAACCAAACCTAAGACTGTGTGTGCTTCTAAGGAAACCTGGCATGGGTAAGAGAAGCTTGGGATTATCAGACTGTTTCAAATGATACTGCATTGAAAAGGAACATTAAGTAGACAGTTTCTACTTGATGCACCTCTGAATAAGGGACCTGAATTGTCTCTGCTAAAGAACTTTAAATACTCMCACCACCTTTTTCTCTTCATATATAACTGCTATTCTTTTAATTACCTCAAGTGAAAGGAAATGCTGGTCAGCTGTATGTTGCTAAACATTATAGATATTTCTCAGTACAAATGTAAGGTGCTGGTTTTGAATCAGACAATCATGAATGCATCCCTTTCAATTATTGTTTGGCACTGCAGAAGCTGTCATTGTGCTTTGGGAACTAGATTAAAATAAAGAATTGATTTCTGGGGTATCTCTGGAGAACTTCATGCGCGTCTGAAACTAAACCACGCTTTGCCCTTGATTCATTAGTTTTGTGCTCTTGTGTTTTATCCTTCTCTTAGAGATTATTTTGTCATGTCTCACATGCTTTACTAATTTTCTATCTTTCAAAGCCCGCTCTTCAAGATTCATTTCCATGGTGTTACTTTTATATTTTATACAGCTGCTTGACTAGAACAAAGTCAAATTCCAAGCTAGCAGAATACCCTGAGCAAATACTCCAAGCTAAAAGCTTGTGCATGTAATATAAATGCAGTACAGATTTTGCTCAGTGTTAGCTTGTAACCCAGCAATAAGTCTTTTAGAGAATCTTCATTCCCTTTTGTGTCTTCCCCTGGCAGGTCTGTGAAGAAGCCTTCGAGAGGAGTTGTGAGAACCCAGCGTCGTAGGCGTTCCAAGTCTCCAATTCTTCATCCACCAAAGTTTATCCATTGCAGCACAAAATCCCATTCCACATGCAGCCAGCTGGTGCAGAAGAGCCAGGCTGATGCCCAGGAGGACAGCAGTGGGTTYGGGATGCCAATCCCAAAGGAAGCTTGTGCACACGAACACTGCAGTGTCGTTCCGGATGTTGGCCAGAAGGGAGCTGATGAGTCTYTGGGAGTTTCTGTTTCACAGTTGCCATCAGAGAACAGACAGGAGAACTCTCCAGCTGCAGCTTCTCTAGTATCCAAAGCAAACCCAAAGACTGTGGAGCTTGCTGACTTCCAGTCCATGTCCAGGCTGAACCTGAGTAAGCCGTGTGCATGTGCAGATAAAGCCTGTCAGTGCAAACTGTGGCAAGATATGGAAGTRTACAAATTCTCTGGCTTGCAGAACACCCTCCCACTGGCACCTGATAGAACAGTTTCTGAGGAGCACTCCCAGCCTTTGCCATCAAGAACTCCCTCAAGTTCTCCACGCTCTTGCTCTGAGCAAGCCAGGGCCTTTGTGGATGATGTGACAATTGAAGACCTTTCGGGTTACATGGAGTATTACCTGTATATTCCAAAGAAAATGTCTCACATGGCAGAAATGATGTATACCTGACAGCGCTGAGCACTAAAACCAGAAGGGTGGCTGGTTTGAATCTGCCCTCAGGCACGTTGTGTGAAGATACAACCCACTCCCTGCTCACTGTGCTTCCAATAAAAACACTTCTTTGCATCTCAGCTGATGTTTGTTATTTAAGCTGGACAAGCAGTTTAGTTTCAGCATTRTACTTTAAGCTTGGGAATGATAATGTGGTAAATGTACCTAGAGTGTACCTGCCTGTCCTTAGAGACCCAACACTTAATTCTACTTTGTTTTCAAAATCCTCTTTTTGATTTGTTGGAGAAGAGTTCCTAAATTGTTTGGTGATTAGAGCTCTTGTGAGGCACCTGGTGTCATTCTGCTTCTTTGACACCACTTTGACCTCAGGTTGTAAGACTGAAGCTTGTGTTTTTGGATGTTTGTGCCTCTGATCGTATTTCATAAAGGAGTGTGACCATCTCCTACCCTCCCCTTGGTACTATTACTGGAAAAGTGGAGTGCAAACCTTTTATTTAATGCCCAACTCACCTTAGAGATTTGTCTGCAGCAGGAGAAACACCCTGAATTCTTTGGGGGAATTGCTGCTACAGTGAAGCGAAGGAAAAGCAAGGCCACAGGCTCTGCTCAGATATTTTTTATGGTGACCAAACCAGTGTTTGCTCTTTTCAGTGGCCTTAATTCATACACTACCAGTTTTGGGGGATTTTTATCTTCTTTTTTTGCCTGCCCTATAACACCAAGTTTAACCCTTCAGGTATTCAGACCCACAGACTGGAGTGAACAGTTGTCAGATGTAGGGAAATCTTGAACACTGTTTTTCTTCACTCCGGTCTTTTTTCTAAGCCACCGTCACTTCAGCTGCCTTGTCCAGATTTGCATTCTTCCTGAAATTTAATGCTTCAGAAGCAAGCAGCTCTCCATACCTAGTGTGCATTAGGATGGTAAGTGTCTAGCAAAGGAGCATCCCATCAAATAATACAATTTGCTGAGGGAGAGAAAAGTTGTGCTTGGTTTGTCTTCGCTATTTGCAGTACCTCAACTTTTCTGACCTGTAAGGTCTGGAGAAAAAATGGAGAYGAACATTTTTCCTTCAAAATCATTTGGGGTATGTTTTTTGTCATTTCCTTGGCAGTAACTGGTATTTTAGAACAAGTGGCCGTGCAAAGTTCCCTGTTTTGCCAGTTCTGAAGTGTCACCTACACTGCAGAATGTACCTGGGTCCCACATCTCTTCCCCTGCTCTTCAATAAGCTGTTTTTTTGCCACCTGTGTCTGAATTCAAGGCAATTTTTGGGTAACTTATCTACAAAACTGGGCTGCAAAGTGCAGAATTACTTTATTTCCCACATAATTGTTCTTTACTGCTTCCAAATGAAAATTCCAGCCATGGCACTGTTGTGGGGCTGAAAGTGCCTTTCAGGACTGCACTGCTTTCTACCATTTCTTTCATTAGTCACCACAGACCTGTATTGCAGGGTTTATGATTGCACTGTCCACTGTTCAGTACTGTGTTAAAGTGGATTGAAATCCTGGTGATGTGAAAATAGAAAGATGTGATCTGGTGCTGACTGGGAAGGGACATGAGCAGTGCCACTAGAGGTCAGCCCCAGGCCGGGGCTGGCTGCTGCAGCCAGCTCAGTCTTYAAGGGATAATGGGTAATTTTTCTGCCAAAATGAAGAAATAAGAGCAGCTCTGTCTGGTGTCTTGGTGCACACAGACTGTCGGTGCTTTCTGAAATTTGTGTGGGTTTGCTGGCGGTCAGCAAAAGTTCTTTAAATGCCAAAATCTGCATAAGTTATTAATGTTTAAACAAAGAGTACGATCAGTTCACAACTGTGCTGTGTAATTAGGAAAAGTTGCTAWGTAAATAATTACATAGTCCTGAACTTGGCATCCTCTTGGGACAGTTACGACATCTTTGGGCACGCAAGTGCTGGAACACTATGGAATAGAAGACCACGAGTTGCTGCAACTGCTGCCTTAACACTTTCCCTTCTGTTACCACAAGGTGTTTTAAGATGTTTTGGTCTTCCCAGAAATCACAGAACAAAACCCTCTATGTTTGCTTTGAGAAAATGCAGATTTATGGCCCCTAATCACGCAGCAAGAACCTTAAAAACTTGCTTAAGTAGTCTAAAAGCTTAGTTTAAAACAACAAAAAAATTCAACTTTGAGGTTTCAAAATCTGACTTTATTTTTAAGAAACCTGTAGAGGACTGGTTCTGCCAAGTGGCACTTGTGAGTCGTGGTGGAGTCCCTTACCAAAGAGCCCATTCCTTCCTGTGCCTGAATAAAAGTGAAGCCCTTTGTAATTAGCTATAACTTGGTTCTTCTCACCTGTGGCTGCAGGTGTTCTGTGTTGAYGTGCTGTCCATACACAGAGCTTCTCTTGCAGTTATACATTGTGTAGTTCCTCTATAAGTTCTCTTCCTAGAAATGCCAGTGAGGAGGTTGTYTGAGTTGAAAAACTGTTGATACGTGAGTCTGAACCCACCACTGTGTGTGGCAGCTTTGCCCCAGAGATCGGTGGGGTTTTGGGAGCTCCCCTGGAAGGGCAGAGCASAGCGGGCTGGAATTGCCCCATAGCTCCTGCAGCTCCTCAGCCTGGTGGTCAGCAAGGGGAGGTCATTTCTCCATGTTCTTGCTGTGAGTGTCTTTAGAAATGGGACAAATGTGCTGCAAGAACAGAGGGCTTGGATTAGCCTGTTACCTGCTCTTTCATTCCTTCTCTACCGTCTGATGACGTTGTTACACACAAGGTGGGCTGTCACTGCTCCGTGYGTCTGCAGCTGTCCACGCTCTTTTCCACACATAGACTGAATTATGCTGCTGGCTGATAAACAGAAGGAAACTTTGGGAAGTTTGTAGTTGTTTGAGAGAGAAGGGTTAAATGGCAACTAGTGGACTAGTTTCATTATCCTAARGCAGCTCTGGAAAGTCACCTGGGCAGTAGCAGCGGGGCTGAGTGAGCTGTACGCTGCGCTCGGGTTCCACCTCTGCCCAGTTAGGCACGATGTGAGTGACCTGCCCCGGGCGCTCCGTCCCCGCATCCCGCGGGGCTCCGGCGGAGCGGGACAGCGGCTGCCGGCCCGGGGGGAGAGCGGCGGCCCCTTCCCAGGCTCTATTTTAAGCAGACATTTACTTTCCCAGCCTCTTCTCCGCCTGGATCCCTGCCCGGGGCGGGGGACGGCGGGGGGGTGGGATGTGTCTCTCCCCTCCTTCATAAAAGGGCCCCGAGGCGGGGGCCGGGCTCCGGGGGGTTATTTTTGGGAGCAGCTCCTGGGATCCGATGGCCTTGTTAGGGCAGCGCTGACCTTTCTCCCGGCGGGGGAGGAGAGCGGGACGGGACGGGGCGGGCGGCGGCGGCCGGGCGGGGGAGAGCGGC